GTGCATGTGCTAACTTCCTTAAGCTCCCTCTTCTATAAAAGCCATGCCTAGCCTAGAGTTTGTGCTGTGCCATCTTTCCCCAGCCAGCCTGGCAGTTCAAGCCTGCCATTAAACCTTGCTCTTGGATGTGAGACTTTTCTCATGAGCTTTCTTTGTGAGTGGCATTTTTCCTAACAGATTTTTAATCTGGGGAAATTATGAGGCTGAGACAGGAAATTGTAACACGTAGTCAGGCTGTTAAAACAAAATCTCATAAACTTGGTGGCTTATAAACAACAGCAATTGATTCCTCATAGTTCAAGAGCTACAAGTCCAAGATCAAGATGGCACCAGATTCAGAGTCTAGTGAAGGCCACTTCCTCTTCATGGATGGTGCCTTCTGGCTGTTTCCTTACAAGGTGCAAGGCAGCTCTCTGGGGCTTTTTCATTTTCCCTTTGTGTTTGTTCCTTCATTTGTTTGTGTGCTTTGAAATGGGGGTCTCCCTATGTTGCACAGGCTGATCTCAAACTCCTAGGTTCAAACAATCCTCCCAGGTCAGACTTCTTGAGTATCTAGGAATACAAGATATACACCACAGTGCTTGCTCTCTGGGGTTTCTTTCCTAAGATCACTACTCCCATTCTTCAGAGCTCTGCCTTAGAGCCACATCTCCTCCCAAAGGCCCCACACCTCCTAACCCCATCTCCTGGGGAGTGAGAATTTCATCATATGAATGGGGAAGGGTGATACAGGCTTTCAGACTGAAGCAGACAGGAAAGGGAGAGGGTCCTTAGAGGCCAGGGGTGGTTCACAGGTCAGCCTTGTGGGACAATTAAACTGCCAATGTAAAGCAAAGAGCAACATAGGTGCATGGATGGATTGGAATGCTTTCTTTCAACTTTGTCAGTGAAAGAGGAAACAAGCTCATCCTGTGAGAGCAAGCAGAGACTATTTTGGGGTATTTGAAGAGGGAGAAAAAAATATATGAGAATTATCACCAAACAAGGTAGGAAAATATTTTATAAAACTTCATAGAAAGGGAATTACTGAGTGTATTGACTTTATTTTCTCTATTCTCAATTTTTGTTATTGGGGCCTTGATCCTAGAGAGACTTCCCTGTCAGGGCTATTTCCTCAGGATAGCAGATTACTCCCCTCCCTCTAATACACAAGCCAACATATCCAGAGCCTGCTCCTAACCAACTTCTTTATCAGATTGTCATACACCAAACCAACAGCCCCCAGCCTTAAATCGCCCCAGATCCAGATACACTGGATCAGGAGGAACCCTCCCTATTTCCCAGAGCTTGGGGAAGTTATTCAAACTGAGGCAGGTAAGAATAGAAACAGGTGGCATAGAACTCAAGAACACGCCAGAATCCTAATCTTTTCAAAAGTACACACATAGGCCAGACACAGTGGATCATGCCTATAATCCCAGCTACTCAGGTGACAGAGACTGGGAGAATCAAAATTGAAGACCAGATGGGCAAAAAGTTAGTGAGACCCCCCCCCATCTCAACAAATCAGTGAGGTATGATGCCTAATGCCTTTAATCCCAGTTATGCAGGAGAAAGAGTCCAATGTCAACCTAAGCAAAAACACAAGACCCTATCTGAAAAATAACTAAAGAAAAAAGGGGTAGAGCCTTGGCTCAAGCAGTAGCCACTTGCCTAGCAAGTCAAAGTCCTGAATTTTAAAAATCCCAGTACTGTAAAAAAAAAAAAAAGCACACACATGCATTTCTCTTTCCAATATACCCTGCACATTAAGTTATAGTATCTGTAGAACAATTCCTCTGTCCTCACCCCAAATGGGAAGTGACCTATGGAAACTAAGACATACTTGAAACATTTATTTTCATTAAGAGTGCCTGATGAGAATACCCATAAAAGTTGCGAGAAACAGACACCCATGTCACCCATGTCAAAAGAACCTCTGATTGGACAAATAGCCCCAGACTTGGTATCTTCAAGCTTGGGTGATAAGGACAGAACTTTTCAGCAGCAGAATGATTGAAAGCTACCAGATACTGAGAACAAAGACATAACTTATCTAGGGAAAGGTTAAGCTACATTACTAACCTATGTTAGCTACTAAAAATAACCCTGATGGAAAAGCTGCCCGGGGCATTGCTATCCACACTTGCATTCTGGGTTTTTCCTCTTTTTTTGCTTCTCTCTGCATAATAAAATCTTTCCTGGCTTTTCAGCTGGTGAAAATATCTCAAAATTCTTCTTCCTGATGTATTCAAGAACTATAGAAATGGGGTAATGAATCTAGGTTTTCTCTCTATTAAGTATCTCCTTGCCTGGTGCCACTGGCTCACACCTGTAATCCTAGCTCCTGAGATCAGGAGGATCCCAATTTGAAGTCAAGCCTGGGCAAATAGCTCGTGAGACCCTATCTTGAAAATACCCAACACAAAACAGGGGTGGTGGAGTAGCTCAAGTGGTACAGCACCAGCCTAGCAAACATGAGGCCCTGAGTTCAAATCCAGTAATACTAAAAAGAAATTCTCCTCAACCCTCTCTCCAGCAACAAAACTATCTAATCCTAAATGAACCCAGTGTACCTGCCCTGTTTCATTCATTCCTTCCTCCTCTCCTTCTGCCTCTTGACTGAATCTGGACTTTTTTTCCCCCAGCATAGCAAGCAGCTCTCCTTTTCCCAGGCGTCTGTCTGTTTATACAGTTTATACTTTCTTCATGATGCATTGTTTTGATATTTTTAAGAATTGTCAATTGCCCTCTCTAGAACCTATGCTCATTGCTTGCTTACCAACAAGATTTTGCCAATACAGTTCTGAAACAGTTGAAATATTTCAACCTGATAACTGAAAACTGGAATTGCAATGTAATTTCAATATATATTCCTCTTATTATAAGCGAGGTAGACATCTTTCCACATAAACAAAAACCAAGGGTTCTAGAACACTGATATCTTCTAGTGATCTTATTAATAAAATTATTCTTTCTCCTGTCCCCATATCAAAGCCTACAGTTGGTACCAGAAGCTCACCAGAAGCCAAAGTCTCAGTGAAACTCTCATCCAAGCTCACAATCCTGACAAGAATTCAAGCCTTCTGATACCTTGGCCACAACCCATGCTCTGTACTTTGGTGATGGTGATGGTGGTAACACAAAATGAACGATTTCACTTTTTCCTGTGCATTAAGAAAGTTGATGTGTTTGGGATGGCAGATATACTAACTGTAATTTTTATTTTCTGTATTTCCTTATACTTCAGACTTTTTTGGGGGGGAGAGGCGCAACTGACCCTAAAGAGACTGCACCTCCCAGGAACAGTTAATTCCTAAAGATGATACAGCAGGCCTTTCATATACAAAATAACCAATCCAAAGCCCAAGCTTTGGCCTCCTTTTTCAGACCATTATCTCTTTGGCCTCATCCATTTGTCTTAGCACTGAACAACTGACCAAAATCACCCCACTGGGGAGCAACCTCTCTACCCCTGAGCCCATCATGCCTTACCTTGCCTTTCTTATAAAAACCAGAATAAAAAAAAAGGGTTTTGCTCACATGTTCCCCTTGCTCCCTCTGCCTTCTGGGCTTCCTCATGTGGCTCTCCTGCTTGACATCTGTGAGTACAAATGCTTTTTCCTTTGTGAGTCATTCCATGTCTGCATATCTTACCATACCCATTATACCAGATCCCAGGTACATTGTAAAACATGGCAGGCACTTACCAAATGTGCAAAGAAAGAGAAGGAAGAAGCCTCTGGGGTGGGAGGAACAGCTAGGCCCGAACACGGCCTCTGGTTTAGAAGACTCTGAGTCAGGTGGTCTTGGGGGAGTTCCAGGGGAAAAAAGCTAAGAGCAGAGAACCTTCTTGAAAGACTGCTCCAGAGCTGTGCTTCTGAGTGTACATTCTAAAGTACCCAAAGCATGCCCAAATTCAGCTTGTGTTCTGTTGTTTAAAGTGTCCCCACATACACACACCTCCATGGAGCTGTGCTATTTCCTGATCTGCCCCAAGTGGCACCATCACTAATTCAATATCTAAACAGATTTCTCTGATTTTCACCATGGTGGTATCTACATTATTTGTGACAACTCTGGCACCCTTTGGAACTCCACACCACCACAACAGTCTTGGAAATGTCCATGGATCCCATTCTTACCAAGATCACTGACTCACCTTTATTCCTCAGTAATTTCATGGGCTTTGTCATTGTTCCAGCTAGAAGGCCATTGATGGGGATCAAAAAGAAGAGAGAATTAAGGTAGACGTAGGAATATAGCCAGCTCTGTGAAGGTGGAGGATAGGTAGGAGGATCACTTTCCAAGGTCAACTGAAGGCAAAAAGCACAAGACCCTGTCTGAGAAATAACCTAAAGCAGAAAGGGCTAGAGGTATGACTCAAGTGGTAGAGCACCTGCCTAGCAAGCATAAGGTCCTGAGTTTAAACCCCACTACCACCAAAAAAAAAAAAAAAAGATCCAGAATGTTGTATATTTGCAAAGCATTTTGTATCAATTCATACACTCTACCACCAAAACATTACAGTTGAAGTCATATAGATACATTCATACAGTCCAGGTGGAATGAAAGTTTCTATGTACGCTAACTAATGTGAAATGAAAGAGAAGAAAGTGGCCATCTCTAATGAGAAAGCACAGCTTACATTGAGCCAGGAACATAGTATTTACTTTTTGAGTAAATGTTTGTCTAATTCTATCTTCTTCTGTAGACACTGGTACTAACAAATACTCAAGGCACATTCATAGAGAAGATAAGAGGAGCCTAGACTGTACTGCTCATTCTATTGATTGAGTAATGCAAAGACTTACCTGTGGGACCTGAGGAAGTCTGTGAATTCATAGGTTGTCTAAATACAGCAAGGTACCTTCTGGGTTGTACTGATAAGGTTCTAAGTATTTGTGACTGTTCACTGCCTTGAAAAGAAAACTCGTAGCAGTGAAACAGAATTATCCTCTGTTTTCCCCAGGAACAATTTTAATCCCCCTGAAACAATAAAAACCAATGGTGGAAGCTACCTGGTAAGCCTGTTGTTTGTCCAAGAGTAGAAAACACATCTACATGTGGCAAGCATACATGAAGTGGGCATTCCAGTAAAAACAAAAGTAAAAATATGAAAGAACTGTGAACTTTACCCATCTTTCTTTTATCATATAGATGAAAGAAATATTTAGCTACTGTCCTAGCATCTAGGAAAGTAACTAGCTCTTCTCCTTTCAGAATGTTTGGGTCTGACTTGGAGCCAACACTGTGAGGTCAGCTCATGTTGCTGCAGTGGAATTTCTTCATGGAACCGGGTCAGCCAATAGGAAGACTAACAGAATAAAAGGGGCATCCTAAGTAAGGCTCAGCTTGTGGGTGCAGATATGAAAGAGACCAGGTCCCTGCCTTCAGAGTGTATAGGTTAAGGGAGGGGCAGAAAGGAATATTCAGTATGATATGTTATAAGAAGGCAACAAAAAAAAAGGAGTGGGATTGTGGTGGAGGCAGGGCTGAGATCAACATGTCTGAACTCTAGTCCACATCTCTGGCTTCTGTTAGGGTGAACAGTAAGGGCAGCCATGTTAGGACCAGACCCCTTATCCCTTGCAGGTGACTTACTGGAAACTCCCCACTCACCCCAAAGAATGACAAAGGGAAAGTTGTTAACCATTACCTCTGGGCACCAAGGATGATAGAACAAATGGGCAACCTAACCACAGCTTATCCTCTTTAGTTACCCCAGCAATGGCATTCTTTAGCTAAAGTTTTCCCCCACTCATCTAGTTCCAGGTACTTTTCCACTAATCTCCTACATCTACCCTGGCCTGTAAGTGGCAGTGGGCTCTAGCTTCTGTTAGAAACCCAGCTCCGAAGGCTCTCTTTCCCAAATAAAACCTCTGCTGACACTGAGCCATCTCCCTCTTTATCTCTCCATACTTTTAAAGTCTAAAAGCTTCCTCAAATCATTTCCCTTATGTGTAAATGACAGGAAGAAACAGTACCTACCTCAAAGGATTAGTAATTAAATAAAGCAACCCATGCCCAGCTCAGAAAAACAGAACAGGCACTAAATAGATTTTATCTTTTTAAAACATGAGAGAGTATCAATATCTTCAGTAAAGAAACTCTAACTTTTGGGGACTTCACAAACCTAGAAATCAAATTTCCCATGTCTGCCTTTTTTTTTGTAGGAATTATTTACTTACTAATCAAACTTCTTTTTGGATTGGAGCACTGCAAGTGTACTGAATGATGAAGAATGGATGAGCAAGAATGTGAAATCATCAGATAGGAGCAATATTCGCAAAAGGTTCTGTCGTCATGCTGGAAGTCTTTTTTCCCCTGCTCCTGCAACTGGTAAGTCCAAGTGGATTCAAGAACTAGAAAAGAAACAAGGGGTAAATACATGCAGTGCAACACTCAGCAAGAGAGTTAGCGCCAAGTTCTGGTGACCTTATTGCCACATTGAACTAGCTAGACCTGCCTGAGAAGCGGTCAAATCAGTACACGCTGAATACTTGATTGCTCCTTGATGCATTCACAGATTAACTATGTAAAATGTGTTTTAGTCAAGCAAGGTGTATTTGTTTACAGACTGTCCTGTTGTTCATTAACCATGTCTATATTTTATCATAAAATTAAATTAGGACTGTGATAAGCAAAAGTCCATGGCCTGGGCATGCTGGCTGGGGTTCATTAGGAGCCATGTGGAATGAGAACACATTTCCTTCCCCAGGTGTGAAGTCTGTGTAAAACTAAGGGAGAGGATGAGGAAGTTCCTTTCATGAGTTTTGTAGAAACAGAAATGCAAGATCTCCAGAATGGGTAAATTGATGTAGAAATGGGTCATGCCTACTCCAAAATGGGAGGGCTGTGGGTCTCCATAACTGTTTGTGCTTCATAATTATATTTAATATTTGATGATCAGCAAAGCAAGTGATTTGACCCACCTGAATGAAGCCTATTTAATATTTGATGATCAGCAAAGCAAGTGATTTGACCCACCTGAATGAAGCCTTTCATGAGACAATCACTCTGAAGACAAATTTAAAAGTGTATGGCTCTCTCTTTCGGAGCAAGTGGGTATCCTTCCTAATCCTCTTCTATCTCCCTAACTCAGGGCTCTCTATGAGCTGTCAACTGGGCTTTTCTCTATACTTCACCGCTACACATCTTCCCAAAAGGTCATTCCACGATTTCCGCTCTGCCAGACAGAGCTTCAGTTGGTTGTCCTTGAAGTAGAAATAAAAATACCTCAATAATCTACATAACAACCAGATGTGAACTTTACATAAGTGACTTTTCCCTTTAATCCACAAATTCAGCAGCTTCCTGCCATTATTCGATCTCAAAAATATTAACTCATTCCATTTAAAAGCCTGGCACAATGAAATAACTAATTCTTTGCAGAATGGTGTAAATAACTTTTTACTAGATTCTAGGTTTTGCGATGACAGACGTTAAGACTCAGAAAGACAAATGCTGAACGTTTTCTGTCATATGTGGAATCTAGACCTTTAAAAATTGATGTGAATGTAAAACTGGGGCTGTTTGGGGGGGACCACCAGGAGCGAGGAGGGTGAAAGGAGAGGCCAATGGGGAGATGAATATGATCAAAGTACTTTGCATTCATATACATTAAAATGTGACAGATGGGGGATAAGAAATAATAATAGAGAGAATGGATTTAATTAAAGCACAGATATGCATGTATCAAAGTAGCACAATGCAACCCCTTTGTACAATTAATATACACCAATAAGAAAATAAACAGCAGCAATATTACTATTCTTGTTTGCATAGGGTTAAAGTTGCTAGCATACCTGGGACTGAATAGTCACCTACAAACTCGTGAATGATGGACTCAGACTAGAGGTACTGGCCACCTGACTGCCCTCCTGGAGCCTCTGGACCAGTCATGGAGCCAATATGGCTCCCTTGTCATCTTCGGAGTGCCAAATTTTAGCTGCTTCTGGGCTCCTGATGGAGACAGAGGCCCTGAACTCATGAACCTCGGCACCCAGATTTCTTCCCTGTCACAGATTTATCCCAGCAGCAGTTCCACCTGGCCACTGAAGCCTCCCTGAAGTGGAAGTGGTTACCTCTGGAAATGGGCCCCCCCTAACAATGGGGACTTTGCAGCTGCAGGAGGACATGATCTCCCCTACACCCAGCCCCTCATCCCAGAGAGGCTGCATTTCCTCTTTCTCAGGAGAAACGGAGAGACCATTGGGATCAATTATTAAGGTCGGCAATCTTTCATATTTATTATGGTCGGACATAAGTTGGATCCCAGCTTCCCGGCCGTGATCACAGCCTCTTGTTGCTTTTAAGTTTTTCTTGGTTTCCTATGATATCTGCATTGTCCTTGCGTGGGGTGCATTCTGTGTTCTTGGAATCTGTAAGTTGAAAATTTTGTTACTTCTCTCTACAAGCCCTACACCACCTTGGCCCAAGCTCCCTTTCTGCGCTTGGACAGCTCACGTAGCTCCCTGCTGGCCTTCCCATTGCCTCCATTCTCCATTCTCCACAGAGCAGATATTCTTTTGAATATCAAAAGGTCATTTTCCTGTTCCTCCTGGTTAAAGTTGCTCAGTGGGTCCCAGAATATCCAAATCCAGAAACAGCTTGCATGCATGAGTGTTGGGGCAGCTCAACAGGTCTAGCAAGGAGTTAGGCCTCCTACTGAGGGTTCCAACCAGACTGAGATTCAAGCTCTGCAAATAAAAACAAAAATGGGCTTTGATAAGGAATAGAGAGAGGGAGATTGGTGCATCAGGAAAAACTCTGAGCAGAATATCTCAATAATCAGACAGAAAAGAATTTTTATAGGGAGTAAAGGAAACTAGGAAGAGCCAGAAACAGTGACACAAGATAAGTCTTGTGGCTCTAGAGCAGGGAAGTTACTCTGCACTCCAAAGCTTGTTTATCCCTAAAGGTGAAGCCTGTGGGGAGGAGGAAGCTTAACTAACTTTGGTCAAGTCTACAGGCATTTTGTTCTAAAATCAATCAGGGTGGACAGTTTAATCATTTATGAGATAATAAAATGGAAATTTGCAACCTGCATTTTAGGTAAAAGAAAAAGAGAGACTCACTGCCTGTACTTTTGTCTTGAGGGAAGGATGGTCCTTTCCAGCAAGCCATTTACCAGAACACAAAAGCCCCGGGGATCTCTTAATTTTTGATGCTTCCAGTTGCACAGGGTACAGTTCAGAACGGTTGCCTCTTACATTCAGGTCTTACTTTCTTTTTTTCCCAAAGCCCTTCAAGGAGGCTTTTCAGGCTGCTCCTCTAGGCCACATACAGACTGTCATCATTGCATAGGGCTAGGTTCAGTCCCTAGTAGCCTCACCTAGGCACTGCCCAAGATGGACCAATAATAACCCAAACCCAGCTGGGGTAACCCATGTCAGATCCTTTGGTCAAGCCATAGCAAGCACAGACATCTGGAATGACCAATGTCCAGAGCACTGGCTGAAAACACAGGGTTCTGGGTTTATTGGATCTAGGTGGGGACCAGGGCTCTATAATTTTTAAAACCCTAATTTTTAGGATCAGGAGTTTGGGAAGCATGGCCAACCTTGGTGATTTCTGGTTGAAAAATATGAATGGGCCCCTAAATTCTGCATCCAGAGACTGGCCCTCTTTGTGGCACAAATTCTCCAGATTCCTCCCCGGGCAGGTGTGGGGGCAGGAGGACCCATCTTAAGTACAGGTGCTACCCCATCAAATGCTGCCTACCCTTCCTGTATAGAGATTTTCTGTGACATCTCAAAAGGCAGGGTGGTTGCCAAAGTAGACAGAGTAGCATCTGCAGACACTGGCCCTACCCCAGGAAGACTGTGCTGTTGGGTTCCTCTCCCAGCACTGATTACTTTCCTTCCACTTCTCATTTCTATCCACAGATCAATCTGACTTGCTTCTTTGAATTGACTAGTTGATTCCCTCCCCCATTTGATCATCTGCCTAAAAATTGCACCCTCTTCTCCCTGTGGCCCCTCTTCACAATCAACCCCATAGTTTCTTCTCTATGGGTAGGAAGCCTAAGGGGGAAGAAAACTCATAGCCCCCAACCCTATGAAGTCAGTCTGTGTAAATCACAACCAAAAACCCCATCTACCCATACCAGTGGTGTGTTCCAAGCACCCACGGCATGA